GGCCTTTTGAAGCTTTCTTTAATGGGAAAAAATGTGGGCAAGCACCCCAAAAAAAAAAAACCTTTTTTGGATCCCCCCCCTCTCACCCCCCCCCCCCCCCCCCCCCCCTCTCTTACACCTTATTGATTATCAGCCATTATTACCCCAACCCTAGCCTCTACCCGGCCATACCCCCACCATTCCCATGCACACGAATACTAAAGGCTATTGTCGTTTCACATTTAAAAAAATATTGGCTTACTCTGAAACAGACAGCCCCACCACCCCCATTTTGTACAAACCCGATGGAAGCGCCCTCATCTCACAACCACGCAACCAAAAACCAGATTCAAATTAATAACTAAATGTTATCTATCCTTTCAAAATGTCCATTTCCATTTCGAATTTTGTGGATTTCAGATAGATGACCGTCTGATTTTATCATGGCTGCTCGGATTTCCATGGGATGACAGATGTCACCGGATGGTTGATGATTCTGAAGGGTGAGTGAAGGTTATCTATTTTTCATTCAAAAGCATTACTGTGTTTCTAAAATCCAAAACGTTTAGATTCAGCTGGCAATATCTAAAATGCATTGGAACCCACAACTAAATACCTGACCCCCTCCCCCCCCCCCCCTCCCTGAAATTCTGCAAGAAAACATTTTAATTGCACTCCCACCCTCCCTTTTGTCCTTCACAACTTACGAATCCCCCACTGAATTCATAATTCCCACCCATTCGACCCTCGTTCCCCTTTCCAAACCTTTCATTACCTGTGTATGGAATCCCAATTTAATGTTATTTTGTGTTGGTTTACAGGGTGAAGCAGACTGTGTGGAGTTGTTAATCTGGATTGTGGATTGTAAACTACATTACGACCATGATTGGTAAGTACTCTTCAAAATCATTACACTCTGTTCCTTGAAACGTTACTTAGAACATAGAAATATTGAAATTATAGAATTAATTGGAGTTAAATTGGAAATTCAAATCGGCAGTACAAGCTGTGCCCCGTTCCACACAAAAGAAGTTTGTCCAAAATATGGTATTTGTCAATTTTGATTCCAATCTTATGATAAAATTGTACAAATTCCTCGAAAATATTTTTGAGAAACAGGGCCCTGAAGCCGAATGGTGAACGTAAGAGTAAAAATATTTGCTATTAAAAAAGAAATGAAATGGAGTTTTACGCCCAAATTCTAAGCTCCAGATTGCCTGCTGTTAAAATGAAATTAGGCAACTGTATTCCTTTAATAGTGGTGAAAATAACATTCGAATATAAACACGATCAGGACCTGTCATTCACCCATCAAATTGTTTACATTTTATTAGCTCTCTGTAGTATAAACAAGCTTTGACAGCACAAGGTGTCTAATTTGCATAAATTTGCATGTCTGGTATTAGTGAAAGACTATTGGCTGAAAGTTTCCCTTCAATCAAAAAGGAGGAGGTTTTCTCTGCTCAACTGAATTTTTCGAATTTGATGACATAATATTAACGTTTATTTTGTAGAAAAGAGACAGAATTGGATATCTTCTGAAGTTGTCGAGATCACAGACAGACTGAAGAAGTTACACTTTCCACAATCTTTAAATGGTAGGTACTCAAAATAAATTTGAATCTTATTCAGTTTAAAATAGATGCACATGCATTTTCAGCCTCTAACCGATAATGGCGATATTGACACCCTTCGCCCCACCCAGCACTCCACCCAAGACGACTAACTACAGTGAACAAATTGTTTTTTGACCC